CGTCGTCGTCGTCGTCGTCGTCGTCGTCGCGGCGCGGCGCAGCGTGGCCGCCCGTGTGAGAAACTTTTAATTGCGTTCCGCGCGCGAGCGGAGCGGCCCATTTCGTCGGCACTCGGGGTCGAGAACCGGAACGAAGGGACGAGAAATCGTGGTGTAGGTAGGGAAGGTAGGTGGCAGAGGAAGAGAGACGAGAGGGAGACGACTGCGAAAGAGGGCGGCAAGGCGAACGGCGCGAGTGCATAACTTATGCGTGTTCGCCGAACGAAGAATTGTCTCGAGGAGGGCAATACGAGTAGGGAATAAGCTGGGGCGCGCTGCGTGGAAGACGAATGTGAAAAGCGTCGGGAAAAAGTAGCGATCGAATGAAGACGGTGCATTGAGAGAAAAGTGTTTTATATTTATGACTGTAATTGCATGATAAAATAATTTTACAGTCATTTGCGAGAACCATATATTCTTTTTATAGTATAAAGAATTAGAAATATAATTATATTATTATTACAAACGTAAGTGCAGTAATAACTAAAAATGGAGCTTCTAACTGTATAATTTATGCAATTATGTCACAGATATCATACATTTTTCTCACAATTAATGCGACACGTAGTGGTTGAAATATGTATTTCTAGTTAAAAATGAAGGAAAGAAAAGATTCTGAATATTCATATTCAATTTTGACTATCTCAATTACAATTATAATAGATTCAATCAGGAAATTCTGATTTGTCCATTTTCAACCAAAATTCCGATTAATACAATCAGACTCTTTCCAGTGTAGGTATGTGCATGCATACAGAAAAAACGGTTTTTTACTGAAGTATTTAAAAATTTAACTAGATACAAATTTAAAAATAAATTTTATTAGACTATCAAACTTGTTTAAACTAGGTTGCTCGAATATCAAAATTTTTTACAGCATTAATTAAATTTCCTACATAATATTATGTATTTCGATAGTTTAACAAAATTATTTTCAAATTTAAATTCTATGTGTCTATTTAAATTCTTAAATATTCAGTAAAAATCGTTCTTTCCAATATTTACGTGTGTACGCAGAGAAATATCAATATATTATATTTGGATGAATTTCGACAAACTGAAAGTTTATCAAATTTTCTGTGTGTACAGATGTCTTAAATATTCCATACGTTATTTTCAGAGCAATTTCTTTCGCAATCCTCGATTATTCGCATGGAATTTGCACATTCTCAATCGCTCGTAATTACCGACATTCGCTAATTATGAGCTCCGCAACGCAAAGTCGTTATAACGACACGAAAACTCTTTGATCTCATTGCCACTCACCTTCTCCTCGAGCCGCGGACCGTCTTCCATTGCGTGCATGATGGCATCCGAAATGCGGGAGTCCAACTCCCTGACGGCGATCCTGACGTTCAAACCGTGGTAATCGGTGTTGCCGCTCACCGCCGCGACGAGCCTCTCGACCGCCTCCACATAACCGGACCACGCGAGATCCAGTTCGGATGCTGGCTCCGTCAGGCAGCCTCTGCAACATTTATTTGCATTTTCTCTCTCCCGTAAGCTCGCAACTCGCGAAATTGAGGCAGCCGGTCGCAAATCACCGCGTGATTATCATACCGATTATCACGCGAATCTAATAATTATAAATCACTCGGTAATAATCTCCCTATAACGCGGACAATTATAAATCTTGCTGTTACAAACTTTTATCCGAGATACACGAAAAAATCGATTTTGCTCTGAAGTATTCATTAAAAACGACCTCGCATTAATTATTACAGGGTGATTTTCATTTTAATCTTAACGAGCAAATATTTCGAAAATATCAATTTTACAAGGAATTTCATTTTTCAAAGAAACATTCTAAATAAAAATGGTATGATATAAAGGGAGACGTACAATCTTGGTTTGATCTTGAGATAACTTATTTGAAATGTTTCAAATAAAATTATAAAATATTTTCCTGAAATATTTGCTTGTTAATAATCATTACCTGTTGATAATTAATCATTATCAATTTAGTCATTCAATCATCCGTCAGTTTTTTACAAGCATCATTACTCAGTCATGCACGATTTACGGCGCATAACGGCGTGTTTCCCATATCGCTGTGCCCACCGGAAAAGCGGATTTGTCACGCAGATGAGATTTCATCATTCCCTAATAACGGACCCCTCTTTCCCCTCCCGATGCATTGCAAGAATTCGCGTTCTTAGGACTGTTCTTATGAAGTACTTACCTCACCACATTTGTGCAGAATCCGCTGCAGGGATTTACAGCTTCCTTGATTCCCTTGCATTTGGGACAATAAGTCATCCTAAGCAGGGCATTACCGGTGCTAGTGGCAAATAACACGTTGTCAGTCTTGTCGAGGACAGTTTTACCGAGTGTCAACGCCTGCACGAGAATCCTGGTAGCCTCCAGGCTCTTGCCGATCTTCTTAAATATCTCCTGCGGCGTGTCACCGAACGGTTGTATGTCGTCGATCCTCTCATACAAGCAGGATTTAAACTTGTCGGTGAAGTCCTGCCGATCCTGATGCGGATTAATGGCGTAATGATAGGCGATCGGAAAGAGCCGCGTGAAGAATTGGTTGATCCGCTCCTGCAGCGTTTCTCGCGTCAACGGCTGCTGCAGATTGTCCGGGGTGTTGGCCGGCGACACGTAGTCCATCATCGCCTGGTAGAGCGCCCGGATCGACGATCTGCTTTGCACCGCCATCGAGCGGTACACTTGATCGAACATGACCAGAGTCTTGTTCTCCGACCTCCGCAGCAACACGATCACCGTCTCTGCGCAGATGGCGGAAAGTGCTCGTTTTAATATTTAACAAGCGCGATTTAACGTGAAAATCCTCCGACCATTTTCTCCGCAACTCAATATCGAGGTTCGCGTAATCCTCGGATCGGAGACCGCAAAAATATTGGAAGCTCGCGAAATTTTTTCAACCCTCGAGAAGATTTCCCCGTCGCGAAGTATTCAATTTTATCATTTCCATACATATAAATAAAATTTGAGTCAAAAGGCAAATTCTCTGCAAGAGGAGAACACATTTATTTAGGACGTGAAAACGATAAAATTACAAATCAGCATCTTTGTACGTTTCTTTTAAGATTAAACGACAATCGGAGATTATCTCTTGCCATTCGAGTGAATGCCATTTTTCTCTGTATATATAGAAAACATTTGAAACGTATATCTATAGATTTTTAAAATATTTTCTCTTTTAAAAAACCATCATTGTCGAGGTCTTTTCTGTTTGTATTAAGAAAAGTTAAGAAACTTAAAATATACCCGAGGAAAAGATGATACTAAAATATCAAAAGAAAAAGTTACTCTCGGGATAAGAAGGATTAAGATAGTCTTCGATACAGGTATATACATATATAAAGCGTCTATTTATCTTTCCCTGCCCCTCTTTTCTCCTCGCTAATTCTTCTAATCTAACTCGCTCGAATAATTCCTCATGCAAATCCACCCACTTGAGATTTTGTGAGTAGAGCGAGAAGAGCGTGCTTGTAACTAAGGACGAACGCGGTTGCACTTAATCGCACGAACGCGTAAAACGAAGAAGACGGACGATAAGTGCTCCTCAATTCCCGCTTTAGTTTCAAGTGGCCTCGGCAAGAATCTATGCACGAAGGCCTAGGAACGTGCAACTTGCGGCTCTAATGATCTTATGGAAGGAAGTAGCGGCCGGCCAAGAAAAAAGTTTCGCGTATCTTTATTTCGATTTCGATAATATCGATTAGGATTGAAGTTTGCAGACGTACGATTATCGTCGTGTAAAACACTAAAATATACACTAGGTCTATTTTCTGTAGTGCAACTACACTGTTATATGTAACGAAATGGTAATCCAATCTCTTGAATTAAATAACATTTTGTTTTTAACTTCCATGTATGTCAAAATGTAAATCCATCTCTGTAATTAGTTTCAAAGTAAACATTGTCCATATTAGCGTACACGCTTAGTGAATAATAAATAAAATTTGAATCAAATTTAATACATTTTCTTGAGTTAAAAATTTGAATCCATTGTTTTAAATTAACAACACATAAGATAGGAGTGGCGAATTATGGAAATGATTAAAAATAATTTAAATTGGGTAAAATTTGACAATGTAGTGTACATTTTTGAAACTTAAAATAAAATAAGTACATGTTTGACATTTGGCAAAAGCGAAAAAGAGAGTTGCAAATGTTATTTGTGAATATTTTCTCTCAAATATTTTCTCTCAATGTTTTCTTCGATATTTATTGATTATTAAAAACTTTGACTGTGATAACAAAATATACATTTCTGTGAAATGTATCTCATTAATTGTAAAACAATAAAATACATAGATGATTTATTTGCTAAAGTTAAAATTTTATTTCGCCATATTAAATGAGAATTTTATTTCAATGAAATAAATATGTATCTTGTAAATAAATTTTTAAGTATCTTTTTCTCCGTGTAATGTACACTAAATTGCAACAAAATCAATTACGCAGACATAGAGCCATGTGAAAAAACATTTATATTAATTAATTTAATTAATTTAATATGGCAAAATAAAACTTTAATTAATTAAAATTAATTAAATTTATATATTAATTAAAAAATCTATTTATATAATTAATTAAAAATTATATTAATATTTTAATTATGATTTAAAACAATTAAGAGCTTTTGAAAATGAGATTACAAAAGTAAATTAAAATATGATTAATAAAAGTCTAAGTGGGCGACAGTATGTAGTTACGTTTCATAAAATAATAAATTGATACATAAAAACAAATGTAATATGAATTATAATAAATTATGAGATAATTTGAAGTTTCGAAAATTTTATTCGTGGTCTCGATGCATAACTGAGAGAGAGAGAGAGAGAGAGAGAGAGAGAGAGAGTCATTCAAAATATTACCGTTTCTCTTCAAAAGATGTTTCTTTACGAGAAACATCTTGCATGATACTGAAATTGGACTCCCCGAGAACATACCGGTTCCGATATCTGATTTGCGACATTGCGCTCCAGAATTATGCTTCGCGGACGAAACTCGTAACGCGTTTCCCACCGGGATCGCAACGGAGCGAAGCGTAATTTATTTTTAAATGGATATGTCTCGCGGTTGTGAAGCGACTAAAATTAACAAGAAATAAAAATACGCGTTGCGATATCCCGCAGCCGTCTTCTCTTGCCGTTTTTCTTTCTTTTTCTCTCTTTCTCCCGATGGGAAAACGAAAGCTTTTACATTTTCCTCCTGTAAAACGTTATTTGTCGAAGCGGATTATGCCCATGTTAATTCAGACTTCAAAGGCGGTTTACTACTCGGATTTGTTTTCCTTCAATTACCGACATTCCATCGACTGAACAGGAATAAAGCTAACAATGTCCACGCGTGCAAGCCCTTTTAGCACAAAATTACATCGATCTTAATCAAACAAGCGTGCAATGTAATCAGAAACATTCTATCGAATTCGAATTTCTGTTTATTAATGAAACGTCGTTCACCTCTCACGAGCTACTACATAACATTGATTGTGATACTATGTAACATTTAAAAGAGAAAAGTTTTTAAATAGTTTATTCTGTAACGAATATTCTGTGGAAATAATATATAAAATATAAATAATTCTAATATTTAATATTAGAAATTTTGAAGGATTGAGAATAATAGTTTAAAATTTTAAATCTTTAAAAGGTTAAATTAATAATTGAATGTAAACTGTAAGCACTACAAAAATATATTAATTTTAAATAATTTCATCTATATTTGATATTTTACCGACAATAAATTATATCGTAGAAATTCTCAAATATTATATAAAAATAAATCTTATAAATTTATAAATATTTTTAGTATCAGTACATAAATTTACAATGTAATTATACATTCTCATTTATAACACGAAGGTATAAAAATATTGCCGATAGGACAATAGCAACAAATTGCTATTATTAATCAAATAAGAAAATACATGGAAAGGACAGTTTTGCCCCTGTCTAAAAATTTATCTAGATACAAATCTAAAAACAATTTTGTTGGACTATCCAAATAATTATGTAGGACATTCAAACTAGATGTCAGAATTTCAAAATTATGTTTGAAATTCTTACGTAATTATTTTGATGGTTTAACAAAATTATATATATATATAGATCTGTATTTAGCTAAATATTTTCGTAAAATCGTTTGTTCCATATAGACTGCCCTTATTCCTTTGTTAAAAACTTGTTAAAATGCGTACATGTTAACAGACCAGATTCAATAAATCTAAGCCTAAATTCGAAGATTCAGGGATCAGGAAAGGATTCTCGGTTTTCGCGAGGCCACAAAGTCAACATCAACGTGAACTCATTCGCGAGGATACAAACACTACTTGGCGGCACAGAGAGAAAGAAAGAGATGAGGAAGCACATTTTTGCGGTATCGAAAATAGCAGAGAGCGGAGGCTGCGCTTGAATTCTAGACGCCGCGTTACCTCGGCAACGACACGCGCCTCGCGAACACGCCGCGCCGCCTCCGCCTCGCGTTTCCGCGCGCGCGCTCCGACGCTTATCATCCTCTGTCTTACCTCGTTTTCCGTTTCTGCTCGGTACCGGTTAGCATGTACGCCAGTATAAATACCTGACTGACCACGTAATCGCGATGACTAAAGGCGCCGGTACACGACCCGAATTGCACGATGTTGAAACCTGTACGGTTTCGTGAAGCTGAAAAAGTTTCTCGAAGAAAGTCGAAAAGAAGAGATGAAATCATCGTCTCGTTGTCTCAATTGGGAACAAAAGCGACGAGATCCCGTTGTCATCTTGTAATACGAATAAATAAAATGATACGCGGGGTAATTGAAAGTAATAAAGCGCGTAATGTGGAACGATGAAGATGAATCACGATTGACATCGCGCGTTAATTTCTCGTATGCAAATTCCGCTCACGGCTCGAGATGAGGAGTGACATGTTTGCGCGGTCGATCTTACGCGCGAGGCCGTTGCAGGAATTAAGGAGATAGATCGGTTGAAGCGACAGAGGAAGGATGGGAGGCCTGAGTTCGGAGAGGAGGGATAGCGGTTTGCTTTCTTGTCCCCGTATAAGGCGGCACGCGGAGAGCAACTCCGATTCTTCACCTTCGAGGGAGTCCCGCAGAGAATCTGAGAGAGAGAGAGAGAGAGAGAGAGAACGCCGGAACTCGAAATCACGATAATTATTAGGGTTTTCAATGTGCAAGGATCACGAATGCGATGAAAGCGATAAATGCATCTTTTCAGGGAGATAGAAGCGTCCCTTCTTCTCTTTTGTCAAACTTTTGCCGATACACCGGCCAAGAATCTCCATAAATCAAAGGTGCTGAAGGCCGGGCAAAACGCGCTGAAAATCCTGTTATTCTAATGACAAAACATCGGAAACGGAGAATAAATCGCTAGTCTCTACAATGCTTTTATGAGGGGAAGCGGAGTTTTATATTTCTCGAAGAATCATCGATTTATCTGATATTTAGTAAAAACCCATCTCAAATTATGTATTGTATCTTTTATATGAACATTCATGTCATTATAAGCCTAAAAATTACATTAAAAACTGATTTTATGTGTCTGTTAGTAAATTGATTCTAATTAAATAAATGAACTACATTACATTGAAAGAAAAGATTGGTTGCTGTAACAAATTAGATGGTTAAATATGGCATAGCATTTTTAATTGGCTGCAGCAATCAATTTTTTGTTGCGTTAGCCAATCGAAATCCTATACTAACATTGTGAATAGGCTAACAATCAACAATTGGCTGCAGCAACCAAAAAATTGGCTGTTGTAGCCAATTAAAAGTGCTATGTCATATTTAACCATTTAATTTTCTGCAACAGCCAATTTTTCTTTCAATGTATAACTACATTATTTATTAATTAAATTATTTATTATATTATTTATTAAACCTTTTTTTCGTTTTGAATAGAGAGATTTAATAATCTGATTATTTTTCCAATTAAATAATCAATTAAAATACTTAAATTTTTCAATGACGAGAATTAAGATGAATAAAAATAATTTTGAACTCGATTTTGAAGTTTTCTTATCAAAATCGAGCACTTTCATAAGTATAAACCAAATGCAACTTTCCGCGTTATCACAAATATTTATATTAACCGTACGTTTATATATCCGTTGAAAATATTCAATAAGGCAGCGAACGCGTTAGAATGCAGTTCTAAGAGGTGGAAAATATCCTACCTCTGAGAGCGTCAGCGGTGGTGGCGAGGAGGCCTTGCAGACTTCTACTGTGATGATGGATCAGATTGTGGAAGTCCACACGGGCTTGTTGCTTCAGACGCTTCTCCATCTCTTCGCCGCAACACTTGCCGCCGCATGTCGCTGGAAAGAAGAAATATTTCACTTTATTACCGAGCAACGTCACCCATTAAAGCCGACAGAAGTGCTCTTCCCCTTTTCGTTCGAACCGAAGTTAAATCGAATTGGGGCCACGAGGGGTAGAGCCCCCAGCTCAGAGAGCCGCGCGGTTAAATTGCATAAACTGCATAAGCCCGGTGATATAAGAGTTCGGTAATCTGACCTATTTGCGAAAATCACAGTCTCTATATCGAAAAAGACCGATGTAAACGAAATCCGAGTCACAGGAATCTCTGTAATCCGACCGAACGGGAATTCTATTATATCGAATTGTTTTATCGCACACGCACAGAATTTCATTTTATCGAATTAATCGGGGTTTTCATCTTTCTACGCGCAATTTCACCCTCGTAACATTTCGTGCGGATATCCGATGTATCGGGTATTAACTGCGCATTATTTGCGATTCCGTTTTTTTTTTTTTTTTTTTTTTTTTTCCGAAAAAGAACATCGATACTCAAATGACAGCTTTCGACACTTTATTTTCAGAATTCCATTTAATTAATGAAATAATGAACTACAAAGTAGCGTAAGATTTATCGCACGCATTTAAAAAATAACTAACAACAATTACAGAACATATCCAAAAATATATTAAAAACTAATATTAAAAACGAAAAATATAATAAATAAAATTCCGAAAAGAATCTCTCTCTCTCTCTCTCTCTCTCTCTTTCTATCTCTTATATGGAAATTATCAATGATTCTTCCATTTATTTAATCTGAGCCATAATTCTCGAGATTATTCCTAATCTTCGTGAAAATACTAGAAAGGAGGGTACAACTTTCATTTTTTCATGACCGTTTGGGGATCGTTTTATTTCTAAATTTTTTTATATATCTTTCTTCATAGAAATAAAAAATTATCAATAATGATACTACAGTCAAGGAAAAATTGGTATGTTAAAATAAAATTAATAAACTCCTTATTCACATCGTTACGAACTCGCTATCAGTTTTGTTTCAATCATTTAAAAACTAATTCAGAATTGTGACTAATCCAGAATTGGATTAGAGTTGAATCAACAACTCTAAATAGTCTGAATTAGTTTTTAAATGATTGAAGCAGAACTGACAGCGATTTCGTAACAATGTTGGAAAAGATTTTTTAGCTTTATTTCATACACAATGTGCGAATTTTTCCTTCAGTGCAACATTATTATAGTAATTTTAACTTTAAAGAAAAATACATTTAAAAGTGTAGAAATAAAACGAACGGTCACGAAAAAAAGTTGTACTCTTACTTTACTGAACGGATTTTTTAACTCACGCCATGTGAGAACTTAGGAAATAAAATTCACAAAAAATTCAAATAGCTATTTCAATTCAACGTGCTCGCTACATTTGCATATTAAATACGGGCCGATGCATACAGTGCGTTACATTAATATTCGCGTACGGCAATAATAACGCTTCCGCGCGATAATTTCGACCGAGATCAGAAAATACGCGGCCGCGGCGTCGCGAACGATCGAAATCCCTCGGTGACGTGCATTCCTCTTTGCCTGCGAGCGAACCGGTTTCACGACCGAACGCTGCATCGAATTTAAAAATATACGGGTACAGCGCGAAATAAAAGTATGGATGAATACAAAAATCGGCAATTAAACGCGAAGGCGAATGTAAAGGGTAAAAAATAAAAAAAAAGTAGCTGCACTGAGAAAAATAATCTGATTGGATTAAATATAATGGTACTTTGGTGAAAAATGAATGAATCAAAATTTTCTGGTTAAATCTACTAGAATTCTGATATAATTATTTTGGTAAAAATAAGAATTTTAATAGATTTTATCAAAAATATTATATAAATCACAATTTCGGTTATCAAACAATTATAAAATTCTAATAAATTTAATTAGATTCGTCCATTTTCTATCAGAAATTTTTTTCAGTGTAATTGTAAATAAATATAGAATATAGACATAAATATAAAAATTGTAATGAGCGTGGATTAACTGATTAGTGGTGTCGATTGTTAAAATAAATTTGATATATTTAAAAAATATTCGGTATATTTTAAAGAATATATAAATTTAATGGAGAGAGCTAATAGTTTAGTCGAAAGAGTAATTACGAAGCTAATTATGAGTCAATTCACAATGGAATATATGAAGCAAGAAAAAGGGAGGTATATTACAAGAGATACGTGTAAAATTTTATGTTAATAAAATTGTAAAATTGTATACATATATAATGTTATGTTAGAATATAATTAACTAGAATATAATTAAATGTAAAAATTAGTAGTGACTGGATTGACTGGTTACGCATATCAATTGTTAAAATAAAGAAATATTTAGAATTCCCGTAGAAATAAAAAAGAATACATAGTTTAATCAAGAAACAGGTTGACACAAGTCAATTCACAAATGAAAGTATAAAGACAAGATAAAGAAAAGTGTATAACATTTATGTGACATTAATTTACGTGTAATTGGATATGTACATATATAATTACTCGTAGAGAACGTTAATTTTCCCTCTGAGAAATAGAATGTTACCGTCACTTATCGAGGTTTATAACATTTCTCTTATTTTTAGGCTGTTAAAAATAAGTCACTACGTTTCGTAAACGAATAACTCGCGAGATTGATGGAAAAAGAAGCGTGTTATGCAATACCTATGAGCTGCGTTGGATCGCGTTAGCCAATAGGACTAATTCCAAAGTTCTGAGAAACATCATAATTTCCGAGATCAACAAGGAAGTAGATATAACAGTGAAAAATCGGTGAAGAAAAAAATGGACGCGTCGCGATACGAGCCGATGATATGCAAATGACTTTGATTGATTTTTTTCACACTGGAAGATCGTTGTGCGCTTCGTCAAACTTTTCTTTTATCAAATCTTCCTTCTCTACGGAATCAGTCATGCAGGATTTAAATCGATATGACAGCGATCTTCGGAAAGTCTTCGTATTCAAATTTATTCGAGGAGTATCCAAATTCAATTACGCAAATATTTGCGATCTCAATTCCGCGAGGCTTTTATAATAAATTCTGTATCGAATCTCATACCTTGAGGTGGTTCCTGAAGAAAAATCAGATCGACAAACGAAACGTATGTCGCGATATCTAGGTGAGTATCCAGTTCATTGATTGAATTCCCCGAGATATATAAACCAGAATTTTTTAATGCAAAACTATGATTTTTTTTAACTATGATGCTTTTTAGATAAATAAGTGATAATTTTCTTGATTAATCTCACATAATTAGAGATATGCAATACTCATTAATTTGAGCAGCATTTGTCGATCTATCGAGAAAAACTGCAACTTGAGTGTCTAAGATGAAAATGGAATTAATTAGCATGCAAAACGCGTGCAAATTTATGCACGCAGAAATCATACCTTTCGACGTGAAATATCGATGGCGGCATATTATGACTGCATATTGAATGTGATAACAATATTAATATTAATGATATCAAGTATCGAATATTAATTACGTGTAACATCAACAATTTTGATAATCCTTTAAAATAGCCATGGATATTGTTAGTATCGAATATAATAGTTATAATGTTGGTAACTAACAATGTCAATGACATTATTAGTGTAATTACTGTCCAATTAGTAGAAATTATTACGCTAATACTCGTAGCAGTCACGAGTTATTAGATGTATTCCAACTTGAAGTAAACACGACGTTTTTATGATACCTAAATTTAACGTCGAATTCCAACACTAAAAAGAAATGTACTTTGCGAAACTCGTGGCCGGAGCTTTCGCTCCGGCAAATATCAATTAATTAAATTACATTAAATTCGGTTGAACGTCGATGATCTCAATTAATATTATCATATTTATATAATATTATATTACATTATATACCCGTATATATCTTTTCTATATATTAAATATATACCCGTATATACCTTTCAAGCTAAAAGTTTCAAAATACTATTAAAAAATTCACATTTCTGAGATTATTTATTTTGATATTTACAACGTGATGTGTTTTTTTAATAATAATTTTTTTAATAATAATTAGATTTTTTGAACCTGAAGAATTATTGTTTAAAAAATATGTTGTTATGAATATTTAACTAAATAATTACAGAAATGTCAATTTTTTAAGAGTTTCCAAACTTACAGTCTAAATGTAGACACATAATATATTATAATACAATTTATTAAATTATACGTACGTTTATGTAAAATTATAAAATTATCGTACATATAAATTATTCTAATTGGAATATTCTCGCTCTTGTATTCATTTCTACTAATGTAGGTCAACTTTAATCTCCACATTTAATAATTTACTTTCTATCTATTTCTGGTTCTAAGAATCAGAAAAAACTAAAAAGTAAAGTAAATCAAGATTAAATCACATTGATAAAAAATGGACGTTATTTAATCAATTTGCTCCAAATTTACTCGACTTGTCTCCCTTTCTCGAGACATCTACCTATTTCTTTTCTTCGGTTTTTTTTTCTGAGCACAATGCTCAGCACGTCCATCTGACAGAAATGTCAGAATCACCTGATTTTGACGTTATTATCCGACAGCAGCTCTCCGATGCGCGTGTCTCGTGAAGATTCCTCCGATGGTGCATTTAACATAAAGAATTAATGTATGATGACATGGAATTTTTTTTTTAATCATAATATTCTGCATTTTTTTATCTTTATCTTATACAACACCGAGGATGAACCAATAATTTTCATAATAACTTTAACAATAATTTTTTAGACCTAATAACTGGATCTAAAAAATTATTGTTAAAAACAAAGTATTGTGTATAATTAAACGCGACTAAAACGCCTGTCAGATTTTATAATTCACGTTTGCTTTTAATTTATTATCGTTTACATTTTATATTGTAACACGTTATATTTCCATCACATACTTAGTAATTTAATAATATTACTTAACTAATATTAAAATCCAGCTTGGCTCACAACCCTTTAACTTTGTTTTGTCTTTTTTTCTCTTTCGTCAGTTGGACGACAGCAGATAAAAGTAGATGAAATGTTATTCCTTGTTGCCTGTGCTTTTCATTGTGTTTAAGGCTTTAAGCATGAGACAAATGAAAAGCACAGGCAATAAGAACAGGAAATAACAGCTTTCAACCCATCTGTGTATTCTGATATACTTACAATTTCTGCTAGGTTGAAATCTGTTATTCTCTCTTGCCTGTGCTTTTCAATTGTGTCTCAGGCTTAAAACATACGAAAGATCCACTTACTCCTCGGAGAGTCCGCGGCGGTCGGCTCGAGCGTGATGTTCTTGGTGCTGAAGAACGGCCTGATCAGCTCGCAGTCGACGACGAGTTCGGTGCCGTTGGATGTCGTCTTCAAGCGGTGCGATCTCGCGTGTGCGATCGAGCACACGCAGTGGCACCAAACGAGAACAGCGAGCAGGACCGCGGACACGGGGTATCCGCGAAAAGCGGCTCGCGGTGTTATTTTCATTTTGGCAAAATGGCCCCGGACGCGATGGAGAGAGCGAGAGAGAGAGAGAGAAAGAGAGATGGAAACCTGAAGGAAAAATCCGCGAGGGAAATCCGCGCGCGCGACAGAAGGATATTTCGCGAGCGTGTTCATGAAAATCGTCCCCTCTCTCTTTCACTCTGTAGCGCCTGTATCCTTATGCCTCTTTCCTTCTTCTTATTCGTCGTCTTCTTTTACAAATTCGTTCTTGGCGGAGTCATCCACCGTATCGGAACGCGGTGATCGTTTGCCGAACGGCGGACGCGCCGTCAGACGGCACGACGGCGGCGAGGCGGCGGTGCTGCGGGCACTCGGTGCATGCGGCGCGAACATTTGGTGCGTTCGTGTGACGATGGTGGAGGAAGACGAGGGAGAGAAGAAGGAAAAAGGAGATACGCGAGGAGAGGAGAGAAGAATAAAAGGAGAAGAAAGAGAGAGAGAGGTCAGAGACGGCGATCAGCGACGCGGCCAGCCGATCACGTACATCCAGCGGTGCTCCCGGCACATGCACGCTCGGCCACTCGGCTCGTATCACAATACGAAACGAGCATATGTACTTTTACGTGTCGTGTACGGGCAATATTATGTGTGTGGATGTGTGTGTGTTATGTATATATGTGTACACGTGCGACGTATACACGCACCGTATCTTACGTATACGGCTGTACCGTGAACACGAACCGCGAGATGGAAGCGAGCCGAACGGACGTCGAAACACCTCCTACGGGCGACTCGATGCGACTAAAACGCCTGGTACGACTGATATACCCGGCGAATATTCGAACGGACCCGCCAGGTAGCGCGCGAGGCGCAGCGCCCTCTTGCGATCGATCTGCGAAGACTACTGTCGAATATGTGTTCTGTAAACGGTGAATTTGCCAATGGTCGATAAAAGAGATTTCCTTTCTCAGCGCTAAAACTATTTGTTGCCTACTTTATTAACACATAATATACTTAACTATAAACAATATATATTATTAAAATGATATACAATATATTAATTCACTATGTATGCAGTTTTAATAATAATTTAATACTTATTTCTTAGAAACTGTAATATTTAGTTATTATTAATAGCATCAGCACACAGAGTTTTAGTTGAGAAAGGGCAAAAATTTTATTTGGAGGAAAAATTAACTCGATAGAATTAATACGTGAATTAATATGCTAAACATGTTTTGTAATTTTTATTTAAAGATATTTCCTTTAAATTTATTATTAACCACTTAAAGTAACTCTTATCGTAACTTCGTGACAAAACAAATCCTGTGTGTTATGTGTTTCATTTAAGGCTTATAATAGGATAGTATTTATAAGATCCAAATTGAGAACTCATACGATGATGTATTACAATAATATGCACCTCTTAATTTTTCTTCCCTGATCCAGAAATTATAGGACATTATCGTACTGAACCTAGTAAAGAATTACTATTAGCGGTCAGAGAGAGAGAGAGAGAGAGAGAGAGAGAGAGAGAGAGAGAGAGAGAGAGAGAGAGAGAGAGA